CAAAAAACCATCAGTTTGCTTTAACCAAAACCCTAAAAAATGGCTTTCTGTGTGATTTTTCATACAAAAGTCTATTTTTCGAGGAGAATTTCAAGAAATGTCGATTTTGGACCAAATTTATGGACAAGTAGGTTGTTCACAGACTCCCATTATTTTTGCAAAAAAATGGCAGTTTGCCTTGATCCAAACCCTGAAAAATGGCTTTTTGGGCGATTTTTCATACAAAATTGTCATTTTTCAAGGGGTGAGGGGATGACGTATGACAGAAATGGGAAAACGTATGACAAGAATGGGAAAACGTATGACAAAAAAATGGCCACTTGACCCCCCCGTAAAAATGAGATTTTTCACTTTTTATACTTTGAACCCACAGGCCTGAATGGGTCGTAGAAGATTTTTTTGTAGCTCCATCGATTATCTATTCAACCATGCATATAGTTTTGAAAGTTTGTACCACAATTTTCATAGTGAAAAATGTGAAAAAAGTGCTTTAGTCGATTTTTCGCAAAATACGAGTCACCCTGATTTTTTGGCTTTGCGAGTTTTTGGCCATAACAAGTTTATACACTAAGTTTGAGCGAAATCGGAGAGGTAAAATCCTATTCTTGTTCGGTTTCGTGTGGAATTGTCGTATACACAAAATATATATATAGCGATGGGAAATGTTGCTCCAATTAAAAACAATTAAAATTATACAAAAATTGCAGAGGCAATCTGAATCATTTTCGAGCTTTATTAAATCATTTCCGTTATTCAGGGCAGAAGGCACACAATTTCAATGAACATAAAATCGAAAAAAGACTTTCAGCCTTGAATGCAAGGATTATAAAGTATATAATTAGACTGATGTTTGTTCACATAGTGGTGATTACTATCCACTTTGAATCTCCACTTTTCGTTGTAGTGCATCGAAGCCAAATTACACTATTATTATCTCCGCGAATAGACCAGACCCAATAAACCAAAAATTGAACAAATCGGATACTATTCACTATGCAGTAGTCTTAGTCTTTTCGGACTCATTAAATAAATTAACAATCAGTTAAGCGAAAGGACTTGAATATAAAAGGAAAATAAATCTAGAAATGTGTCGAACTTAAATACGCCAATTCTTCCTTTTTCTTTTCATCCTATAATAATACTACTGTGTCCAAAAAGTAAGGTGACATTGCATTTATTTTGAAAATTCTTTATTTATTCTTCCAAATCAATTTCATCGCCTTCAAAGTAATCCCCTCCCGATACAATGCACTTATGCCAACGGATTTTCCAATCTTCGAAACAGTTGAAAAAGTCGACTTCAGGGATGGCCCTGGTCTTCGCTGCGGCTTCAATCTGCTCTATCGTCTCAAAACGGTGTCCCCGGAGCGGTCTTTTGAGCTTGTTGAACAGCCAGAAGTCGCACGGTGCCAAATCAGGTGAATACGGTGGTTGTGGAACGATATGAGTCGAGTTTTTGGCGAAATGTTCACGAAGAATGATCGCATTGTGAGACGATGCATTATCATGGTGCAAAAACCAAGAGTTGTCTTTCCACAATTCCGGCCTCTTTTGGCGGATAGCGTTACGCAAACGACGCATAACACTCAAATAATATTCCTTGTTGACTGTTTGACCCGGGGGAAGGAACTCATAATGCACAACACCCCGATAATCGAAGAAAACAGTCAACATGACCTTGATTTTTGAGCGACTTTGGCGCGGTTTTTTTGGTCTCGGCTCACCTTTGGCACGATATTCGCTCGATTGGTCGGTTGTTTCCGGGTCGTAAGCATAGATCCAAGTCTCGTCTCCAGTGATCATGCATTTCGTCTTGTCAATGTAGTCAGAAAGCATTGTTTCACACACGTCAACTCGACACCTTTTTACCAAAAAATTCAATGATTTCGGTACCAGTCGAGATTTGACGCGTTTGAGGCCCAAAACATCCTTCAAAATGGTATTGACTGAGCCTTTCGATATGCCAATATCATCAGCAAGGTCTCTAATCGTTAATCGACGGTTTTCCAACACCAAATCTTTAATTTTTTGGACGTGAGCTTCGTCGGTTGAGGTTGATGGTCGCCCAGCACGCTCTTCGTCTTCGACACATTCACGGCCTGCTTGGAACTCACTATACCACTTGTAAACATTTTTTTTCGACATAGCCTCATCACCAAAGGCTTTCTGCACCATCCTCAACGAATCCGCAGCAGAAAATTGATTCCGCAAACAAAATTTAATGCAAATTCTTTGATCAACAAATTTCGACATCGCAAAAAACGAGAAATTCACTTTTAGCAGTCCACAAAACGAAGCGTATCTCAAACACTAATGAATATTTTGACGTGTAATTTGGCAGGGATGTCAAAGACAGTCCTACCAACCTAAAAATAAAAGGATTTTTTCAAATTCCCCAGCGCGCTAAATTTTAAATGCAACTTACTTTTTGGACACAGTAGTAAATGCTAATTTTGTAATGATAGGCCATTCTAAATTATTTTAAAAGAAATCGATCGACCTTTCGAAGCTAATAGATTTGAATATTTGTCACAAGACCATTTGGGCAGTTAAATTGGAATATTCAGTATCTCTACATATGTCTCTCGGTTCGGTTGCAAACACAGCTCATTTGAAAAAAATCTTTTCCGAGCTTTTGTTCGATTAATTATTCTCACCACAGTCCATTTTGTCAAAACGTGTGACTACAATTTTTTTGCCATAAACGCTATCAAAATTGCAAAACGAATTCAAGATTAGAAAAAGTTCTTGTGACAACAACTTCTTGGTAAATAACTGATTCAAAATGGGGGTCATCCCTTTGAGAACAACGCGAAGAGTTCTTGAATGGCTCTGCATATACCCGACCAATAAAATGATCAGTAATCGGACCAAAGTGAGCTATATCATCTTCAGCGTCATACTTTTCATACTAAATCTGAATGGTTTAGTGACGAGTGCGGCTTATCTTTTGAAGTTTGCGTCAACGGATTTGGAAAGTGCGTTGTATGCGTTATTCCAAGTTGATGCGTTGACGGCGACTGGTTACACGAATATCGTGCTTCTACTTTCGCGGCCAAATTTGCTTCTTTTCATATTTGCTTCATCTGCGGCCAAAATATGTGCCATCTTTCGATGCAAAGCTTGCCACAAACCGACTGTCATCATCTTGTCAGATTCTCATAACATTTACTAAAAAAATCATATGCACAAACAATCACAGCAATCTGTATGCACAATTGCACAAACACTAACAAAATAATGTACTTAAATATTAATTTGCGATGAAGTCATTCAGTGAAGTTCATTTTTATCTGTGATTAGAATAAAAGATTAATACCTGAATTAAAAATATTTGAGCTCATTAGTAGATCGATTAAAAAAGAGAACAACATGTTTAGGCATTGAATATAAAAGAAATGTTTCCGTTTTAGCTCACTTTAATAGATATAGCGCCCTACCGTCAAATAAAATGATAGCAGTTGTTCAACTTATACGAATCCATTATTATCGGAAACAATCCATTATTCGTCGAGCTGGTGCTGTAATTGGATGCGCTTTTATGTTAAATGCCACGATACGACGATGAAAATTCCAAACAACATAAGTTCCGTATAAACGGGCAACAAACGATGCGCAATTTTTCTAAACTAATGTCGAATGCGCAAAAGATGGGCTGTAAACATGCATGAAATGAACCTGATTTTCAATTGCCTTTAACTAATGTGAGATCAAATGAGATTGAATAGTCGGGTAAGCGTAAACAGAAGCAGACATCCAAACTTACCTTATGTTCAATTGAACGCACTTGCTTAATGCATTCTCTCTAGAAACTGTTTACTGAATATTTATTATGCTTCAAAATAGCTTGTGATAAATCCACTTGTAAATGATTTACTGCGATGAAGGAATGGTCTTGAATCGCTATCAATTTACTCGACGAGAGTATAAAACATGCGCAGATACAACCAAGTGATTCAGTTTTAATGTAACGTTCTCTCGGCATCAATCATTTATATGGTTTGTGACATAATATTGAAGTGTAATTTAATCATCATCACTTTTTTGTTGTAGCTCTAGTAAGTATTTTAGAACATAATCTTGTTCAAAGTCAAGTTTAATGTCATTAGTTCATCGTTGAATCAACGGTCTTGAAGAATGGGTGAAGAAAATCGTTGTCAAAAGTCAAAGTCAAAATCAAGATCAAGATCTGTTCATAAGAATTTCAATATTACAACAGGAATAACATTCCTGGAATATATCATTTTATGTTTTTACTTGAATCCATAGATTTCAAATTGCTTTCTTCCAGACTTTCAACAAAATATTTCGTTATGGAATGTTTACTTCTAATTTTTCTATTGTTTGGGCCAATCGTTTCCAAGAACATCGAAGAGATTAACGTCACTTCTAGAGATGAATTCGGGAACACACCTCTTCATGATACGGCCCGTTATGGTAACCATAGGCTTTTAACAACGACCCGAACTTAAATTATATTAAAGTTGATTTTGTTATGAATGTAGGCTATTTCTTGTACAAAGCTAGGCTTCTAATTCAGAGAGGTGCTGATGTAAATTCAAAAAACTTAAATGGAGAAACTCCGTTAATTTTGGCTGCTAAACATGGTAAAAATCACTTCGTCCAGTATTTTTTGTATTTTTTTTCAATTGCAAGTGTTTTTGAAATGAGTACATATTCATTGGTCAGGCAAAACGGATATCGCTGAAGTTCTGGTTAAAAGTGGAGCTAATGTAAATGCTAGAAGATTTAATAGGGAAACCGCTCTTCATATTGCAACGAAACAAAGTAAATTCCGATTGTTTGTGACAGCAATTTGAGCAAATTGTTTTTAATTGATCAATTATCAACGGCAGATAAAGTGGACATCGTGAGAATCCTAGTTGAAAACGGCGCTGATATCAACGCCAGAGATGACGAAGAGAAATCTCCACTTTTTTGGGCGTCGGAATACCGTAACTATCCATTTTTATACTTTCAAATGAGTTGATGAGGAAAATTATGGGATTGTATGAATATTTGAAGTGTACTAGCATAAAAAGCAGAGCAGCAGAGGTGAAAACATAAATTTCTGATCCCACTGTTTTCCCAGCAACACAAATTTATCATTTAATTTTTAAATTTTTTGAAATGTGATTTGTTCTGATCTAAATATTCTGATTCAGGGAACGAGAACATTGCCAGAATCATAATTGAAAACAGAGTCAACGACGAACAGGCTGCAGCACTAATGGTGGCAATTACTTTAGGTATGCCGAAAAGTGAAATTGTTTACATTTCTCAATTGATATGGCCAAAATGCATTTGGAACTATTTGACTGATAGCAAATTGGCTATTTGAAAGTTGTGCTACCATTTCAGGCAATGAAGACTTGGTCAAGTACATGGTTGAAAACGGTGTCAATGTTGATGTTCAACTACAGGATGGAAGAACTGCTTTGCATTTATCAGCAATCAGTTGAGTGCTTTTTTTAAATAAATAAATACATTTTGATAAATGCTTTTTAAAATTTTTAGGTGGAAAACCCAAAATCGTTAAAGCGCTTCTTTTGAACGGTGCTAATATAAATGCCAGGGATAAAACTAAAGAAACTCCACTTCATGCGGTTTGTACTGCCTTTTTTTGCTTGTTTTTTAATAGTTTTTTCTATGTGCAATTTGAATGACTTACGTTCGACTGTTAAGACTGTATTTAAAACTTGCACGCGCTTGTTCCGGACCTATGCTCTTTCCCCGCACACGCGTCTGTCCGTCTTCTCGACGCAACAATAACAATAAATCAGCACATTCCTAGTAGTTTATGCACTGTTCCATATCTTTATTCCAAATTCTACAAAAATTAACAACAATGCAAAGCAATCCATGCAAGCTGCACGATGAACACTTCGGCTATCAATATAATGGTGACAACTGTTGTAAAACAGAAAAAAAACTCATTATGCGACACATCACCGATGTGATTCTGCTATTGTATCAGTCGGTTGATAGACTGAAGAATAGAATACAAATTCCACTTCAAATGGAAACAGAGTTCAATTTCTTATGGTGAATTTGAAGTCAGTGGGTCTGGGCAAATATAAAGAAATAGCTTCTAAATTCTAAATTCCAAATTACAAAAAGTGTCTTACTACAGGTTGTTCGACTTGCAAGTACGAACGTTGTTCGCATTTTCACTGAAAACTGGGCTGATTTGGGTATCACAAACGATAGAGGGCTGACACCACGTGAACTTGCTCTCTGGATGAGCGAACTACCGAGCGAAAAATGTAATTTGAAATTTTTGAATGAAATTTAGAATTCGAATTAAAAATTTTTATTTACATTATGAAATTTATAATTTTGATTGTGAAAAAACTGACGTCATATTCCACAATTTTTATTAAAAACCTACTTGATTACCTTTACTTTTGAACCTACATGGGATGAAAAGTCCCGATTAGTAGTATCAGAAGAACTGAACTAGTATAGTTCAAATATGTATGAAAATTGTAGTGTAAGCGAGGTTCCTATATCTTCGTTACATCACAATTCATAACGTACAAATCTTACGAAGATCTGGATGGAGCTGTTGATGTTTCAAAGAAAAATTGCGAAATGACAAATACAATATAATACTTCTATTCGTGAGACGTAAAAGAATGTACCTATGTTTTTTTGTCGATTTATATTTTTGAAAAGGAAAGTAGGTTTTCTGTTGATTCTATCTGCGTTAAAAGGAAGTATGTTGGCATCCCGTCTAGCCCCCGCGGTTTTTCACGGTTTCCGCGGAACTGATAAGAGATAACAACTTGGTGTCTTCGGCAAAGTTGTAGTACTTGAGGTCTTCTATAACATTGCTGAAGACATCTATCTCTTATCTCTTAACAGTTGCGCGCAAATCACGCACATAAAAAAGCAAATTTTATATAGAACTTTTTTTTCTTATCATTTTTCGCGCTTTTCGCGGAACTGATAAGAGATAAGAGATAACTGATTTCAGCAATGTTATAGAAGACCTCAAGTGCTACAACTTTGCCGAAAACATCAAGTTGTTATCTCTTATCAGTTCCGCGGAAACCGTGAAAAACCGCGAGGACCCGCGAAAAACGAACATACATTCTTTTAACCATTATTAGTTGCAATGAAATATACTTCTCTTTATTGCTACGAAGTTGGACCAACTTGCGTTCTTTTACGTCTCACTAATAGACTTGTCAATCATATTTTAAAATAACATCATAGTCAACAATAATAACAAATGTATTTGTACAGATCACGAGTATTTGTGGATGGCCTCAATTTTGCAAAACGCAGAGGAAAAGCAGAGAGAAAGAGCGAAAGAAAAACGAAACGCAAACGAGCACCAGAAATGTCTAGCCGATGTGATTGATTAAAGTGTTTGCTAACGGTCGAAAAATGACATAGTTCCAAACCAACCAACAATTTTATGTTTAATATTTCACTTTTAAATCAAAGCAATTTTTTCAAAAAATGATCATGAATTTTCAATTTTTTCTTTAGATATCATCTTCCGTTGCACCTGAGTAAATTTAAAATCGATATTAGTCAGAAAATAAAAATTAGATCTTTTTTCAATGCTTTTATCATCCGAAATAATTAGTTTGAAATAGTTGCTATTAAATTTTTACAAATGCAGTTTATTAATTGTAAATAAATAAAATGAGAAAATAAACGCTAATCAAATGAAATCACTTATTTTTTTCTATGCAATGCACACATTACTACAATTATCCAATTTAATGATCGTGGTATTAACATTCAATTGTTCAACAGTCAATCGAATCGGAAGTCTAATCGTTAGAATAGCAAAATAGAAACCTATAGAATAGCAAAATTTTAATTAATCCAAATTAAAACGTGTCGTCTGTTTAACAATTCTATAGGTAATATATAGATGTGAATATTGTTAAAAGTCCAATTGAAAACGGAACTATTATGTTACATACACTGTCAAAACTATTCAACATTTTTATGTTGGTATTTCTGGTAATATACGGAATTAACGGTAATCCGTGAATTTCATACTATATAACCGGATCTCCGTCAAAATTGAACTGTCAACGCAGACGTGCTGTGTGTATGTATTCTAACGGAGATCCGGCAATATACTATGAAATTGACGGATTACCGTGAATTCCGTATATTACCAGAAATACCAACACAAAAATGTTGAAAATCCTGACAGTGTACCGTATGTATTGATGTGATGGACATTTAGAGAACAACGCAACTTTATTACGCAGAGATTTATGGTAAAAAATTGCATCAGACGTTTGTAGTTCATTTAAGAAAATCCTAGAAATTACGTCACTCTTATAAAATGATCATCGATCAGTGATCAAGCTTTGCAATGAAATGATGAATATTTTTATATCCACAGGTTACCTAGAGATTAAGGACGAAATGATTTGGCCCGGAATCGTATGATTGGGATCATCTATGAGTCAAGTTCATTGATAAAATAACAACGGAACATTGAATTAATTTTTTTCTTGTTATGCAAAGATAAAACAAAGCTTGACTTATTCACGTACAATTGTGGTCGTCACTTTACGTGATAAAAGCATTAAGAACCAGCGGCTGGTTACCAGCCTCTTGATTGAGAGACAAATATTGAATATAATAAAATGGTTGCGCAGATTGTGTATTGCACAAATTGAATGTAGTTCTTAATTAGCAAATTTCGAAATAAATGCAGCATTAAGTAGGAAATAAGAGCAACGTTTTTTTTTTCAATTTGGTCAATCAGCATATAAAACAAGTGCACGGAAAATAAAACGACTTAGTTCAGCAATAGAATTTGATCAAGTCATAGGCTTATGTTTCGATAAAACAGTTTTATTCAACATTTCTTTTGTTGTACCATTCAAACGTGTGACTTCTACATTTCGTGTGCACTGTTCATTGTTCATTCAACCAAACATTTTCGAGGTGAAAAATGAAACTTTTGTTCGTCGTTGTTCTAGTTTTTGGAACGAGCCATGCTTATATACCTTCGATCGAAAGCTCCATTTATCCAATTGTTGAAAATCGACAGAAGGTTATTCATGTGGCCGCAAAAATCCGCGAAGGTGAGTTTTCTTTTCATATATTATTAATATTTTCTTGTGTTCCTAGGACTTTATTAAAGTTCTTGTTCCTCCAATATTGAACATTATGACACAATATGAAACAGATGAAAAACCTCTAGACGAGGTTAAAATGGAGTGACGCTTCTGTGCGTGGATTTACCACTCAAAATGACTGATATCATTTTGAGTGACGCTAGGACGCGGGTTTATCTCTGGATACAAAGTTCAAAAGTATTTTTCGCATTCACTATTGTGAAAATTTACTCACAATAAGGAAAAAATATCTTGCGTCACGACTTTTGATTTTAGATCAAGTTTTCAAGCGTTTTGTCGTCTAAAAGTCGTGACGCAAGATATTTTTTCCTCATTGTGAGTAAATTTTCACAATACGACCATTCCACACGAAATCAATCAAAATTCACATCGAGGTTCTCAG